CCGCACTCCAGTCTGGGCGACAGAGTGAGACTCCAACTCAATAAATAAATAAATAAATAAATAAACAAACAAACAAACAAACCAATAAATAAAATTTTAAAAAGCTTTCTTTTCTGATCCAGAACCCTCCAGACAACTGGGAGAAGTTGGGACGAGTGCTGGGGACAGGTGAGGTACAGGGAGTGTGGAGCTGATGAGGTCCACGGCAGCAGGGCAGACGGTCTTAGAGGGGAGGGCAGGAGGGAGATCTGGCCAGGTGGATGGCCTTGGGACATTCCTTTTGCTAAGGACCTCACCTTGCTCAGGCACCTTCTCCTCCTCCTTCTTGGGCAGGGTCACATAGGAGAATGTATCGGGCTTGGAGGAGACAATTTGGTCAAAGTTGATCTTGTTCATGCTTCGCTCATAGTCCAGGCTCACTTCTCTGGCGAGACTGCTGAGGTGCTCTAGAACCCTGACCATGGAGATGGGAGACGGAAGAGTTAAGGGGCTCCACACCCCTGGCAGCCCCACACTGTGGACCAGCTGGAACCCAGGCTCTGCTCTGGCATGGACCTGGGGACATGAATGTGGGGCTTCCCCTCTAGATTCATGGGCACACCCTTGCCTGGCCCTGAGCCACTAAGCTCCATCAATCTTGTGCCTTGCATCTTTCACGCCCCGTCCCCATTTTCTTTGCCAGTCTCTGAAAACCAAGGCAGATCCCAGAGCAGTGGTGCAGGAAGGCCTGGACCTAGAGGTATCAGACAGCTGCCCACTTGCTGCTTGAACCCACTGTCCCACGGCTTGGGGTCCATGGAGGTTGCCTGAGACTGAGCTTCTTTGCTTTCACACGAGTAAGTATGCCAGCATCTGGAAGTTGCTGAGAACTCAGGACATGCAAGACAGTCATCATGCCATGAGTGGGCCCAAGGGTGGGTGACCCCTACATGTGACCACCAAACTGGGCTCTGAGAGCTGAAGTCACCAGGCCGTGAATAAGCCTGCACATCTCACTCTCCCCACACAGGCAGGTCCCCAAGAGGCTTCTCATCACTTGCTCTCACTTTGCACACATTCCCCAGGCCACTGTATGCTGGTGCCTGACTGGGTTTCTCCATCCTGTGTGGACAGGCCTTCCTGTTCCTTGACTTGGTCTCTTCCGTGGATTTCTCCCTCTTCCCCTTCTCTGCCACCCCAAAATAGGCCCTTTAGCTCTGGCGACTGCGCCACAGAGGAATCTCAGCCTCCTGCAGCATGCTCCTGCACCAGAGCCAAAGACGCTGCTGGGGAATCTCACGGGGAATGGGGGTATGGGAGAGTTCCCCTTCAACAACCTCTCAACTCGGTCTAGCAATCCACTCACTTCCCTCTCGCCTTCTCTGCAAACCCACAGACACATCCTCCCACTCTAGATGAGTGCCTCAATTTCATCCAGAAGTCAGAAGCTGTTGGAAGGAACGACTTCATCTCCCCACCTCTAGATTCCCCTGCCCTCCACCATGATGGAAGGTGTGACCTGCTCCTGTGAAGAGCCTGCTAAGCTTCCCTTCATGCTGCTCCCATCTTCTAATTTCATTCCCCTCAGTCTGGCTTCCCACGCAAGCTCTCCCAGTGGCCCCCACACTAGTGTCTCCCGTCACTAGACACCATCCCTTGACTTTGCTCCCTCTGGGCCCTGCTTCATCTCTTTCTGTCCCTTTATGGTAAAACTGGTGTTCTCACCTCCTCCCTTCCCTTCTCTCCCCAGTGCCTGTAGAGCGGCTGCTCTGACTGAGCTCACTGACAGCAGGGTCCTTACCCCGGCCACCCCTCTCTGCTCTGCCCTCATCTCACTGGACTCCTGGAGATTTGACACGGTGGCTCTCACCCTGCCCCTGCCCCTGCCCCTGCCCCGCTTTCTTCATGGAGCTTCTGGGACATTCTTCCCAGGTTCTTTCTCATCTACCTGATTTCTAAACATTGGCCTGTGCCAGGACTCAGTCCTGAGACCCCCTTCTCTCCACCTTTCCCCAGGTGAGCTCATCCAGGCTCAGGCTCTGAACACCATTGTTCTATTCACCAAGAACCCACAAACCTATCCACAGTTCAACCTCTCCCTCCTTCACCCACCTCCCCACTCACCATTGCCACGGGGATGTCTTACCATGTGTCAGACTTGGCGTGGAAAAAGCAAACTCTGCATCCCCTGCCCCACACACTCCGCTCTCTCCTGCCCCCTGTTCTCCTTGTCTCAGTAAACCACGTTGCATACACCCAACTGATCAAAACCCCAGGCAAGGGGTCCTTGGCCCTTTCCCTTTACTGGATACGCACTTGGCACATTCAGTCCATTAGCAGCTCTCATGGCTCCACCTCCAAGGAAACCCCAGAGGTGTTCACTTTTCTTCTGCTCCTCAGCCACTACCCTGTCCAAGCCACCATCCTCATCTCTGGCCTGGATGCTGGCATGAGTCACTTACTGATCTCCCTGTTTCCACTCTTGCCCCCTAACAACCCATTCTCCACTTGGCAAGGGGAGGAAAGTATATTGTGAACATGTAAGTGATCAAGCCAGCCCTGTGCTCACAACGTGCTTCAGCCTCCCACTGTTGTCCTCCCTCACTCCACCCCAGCCACACTAACCCTGTCCTACTCCTCAAATGCCCCAAAACTGTCCCTCCTGCTCAGCCTCTGCACTGATGTTCCCACTACCAGCATCCTCTTCTTCCCTTGCCTTTGATCTAGACTCAAATGTTAGCACTTCCATGAGGCCTTTCCTGATCACCACAAAGTAGTCCCATTAGACATCTCTATTTCCTTATCTTGCTGTGTCTTCAGAGTACTTATCAGAACCCTAAATCACCTAGATTTTTTATTGTCTGTCTTCCTGGTCAGGCAGAGAGGCCCCGGAGAGCAGGCCCTTTATTGGGCCTTTATCCATCTTGTGCCCCAGTGCCTGGCACAAGATGGATACTCCCACACACACAGCTGGCTGCCAGCCAACATCCACTTCCTCCCATCTTCCTCAGTGTTGTTTCAGAATTCAATCCTTTCTCAATTGACTCAGGGGAAGATGACTACCTCTCCAGCTCCAGGGGTACATCTCAACTAGTCTGAACCAGTCATGGCGGAGCTTGACCTGACTAACTGGTTTCGTGGCAGGAGCATGTCCCAGTTATGATCTACTGATGCAGCGATACAGAATTCAAGTCCTCTTGTTCTGGCTCCCTCAGGACAAATTCTGTGGTGCCATTCATGTTCCAGACTTTCCCACAGGATCAGGCTGAGGCTAGACTTCTGAAACCACATCTTTCCCAGCTGCTTCCTCTATAATCCCTTGCTTCCTTCACTCCCCTGGAGATCTGAGAGAATTTCATCAATGAATCACTTGCACAAGAATCCCAACTCAAGGTCTACTTCTAGGGAATCCAGTCTAAGACAGGAGTCAATGACCTTGGATCTCGCTGTGCTCATGAAACTACTGCTGCCATCTTGCCTGAAAACGAAGCCAGCACACACTGAGGACTGAGCCCCAATGTACCTGCCCTGGGGCATTCTGCACTGGATTTCTTGTTACAGGTAAAGTAATGCATTTCCCTGCAGTCTAAGCCAAGCTAAACCAATCCTTGACACTTGCAAACAAAAATATGATTATGAATGGAATAAAACTCAAGAACAACAAAAGTAAGGTGGCTACATCACCTCAAATCTCCCAGCATACCCTAGAAAGAGAGAAGAGGAAAGAAGAAAATAACACTACCAAAACCAAAGAAAAAAATAATAACACTACCAAAACTCATACCTTTGGCACAACTAGAATAAGAGAATTCCTAAACTTCAAATTATATTTAGATTTCTAAAAAATCAACACCAAGCCAGGCTCGGTGGCTCAGCCTGTAATCCCGCACCTTTGGGAGGCTGAGGTGAGTGGATTGCCTGAGCCCGCGGGTTCGAGACCCGCCTGGGCAGCGAGACCTCATC